CATCAAAGAGTTTTACTGACTGCTCCAGAAGGAAGCAATTTGTCATACTGCTTGCCATAAAATTGAAAACTCTAATTTGTTGCCAAGTTGGTGAAATTGAAGTTTAAACATAATATTTAAGCTTTAAATACATGAATGCATTGCTGGGAATTGAGAACGTGTGACTGAAAGCATGTGGGGAGACACGAGCGCTACTTTTGCTTGACCGCTACTGTGAAAAAAGAGAGACAAAATTCGTGTCTTGGGCGATGGGAAGCTATTTAAAATTAGGACCGTCCAAAGGTGTTTTAAGTTAGTTTATTTTTACAAAAAAGTGTGTAGGGATCTCCTCTCTGCCTTTTAAAAATCAAAGTTGAAATGTATAAAAATGCCATTTCATTGAGGATTTTAGCAACTTTTTAGTATTCATAAGTCAAAATTTTTAACTGCTCAAATCAGAGAGGGAAAATAACTTAATTACCATATTTTCCGCTCTGTGTTAGGTGATATTTAATACCAAACAAAAATTTTTAAAATATGGAAGTTATCTCTCGTCTACAAAAGAAACAGCCTAAAGCTAACTACTACTGCTCAGGAGAATATGTGAGCCATAGCACATAATTCAGGGGAGAAGTAGAAGGAACTTTTAAGGTAGTTTTTAAGCTTCTATTTTAGGAGTTTATCACCATCTTGCAATATCTATGCGAGTGAAATGACCTGCCTTTTGAATAGGAATAAAAAGAGTTAAGTAACTTGTGTAGATGTGCCCCAACACAAGGAGAAAAATGGGAGAGTCATGGGTGCTTGTGGTTTTTCTTATCCTTCCTTTCTGGTCACAAGATAGCAGGAAAAAAGTTCCGGAAATTCTGTCTTGCATTTTCTAATGAGTTGCTGCTAGTTGTAAGGCTGAGACTAGAGGCAGTGGGCTCAGAAGTAGCAAGAGCTGTTCATTGTACAGTTTGTACTGAAGCCAATTAAGAGTTCTGCATGCCCTAAAGAAACCTTGGAGAGACTCCTTGCTTGCCTTAGGAATCAGGAAACCTACTCCCAATGTTGTATCAGAAAAGAGGGAATGTGAGGACTCCCAGATGTGCAGCTTCTCAGCTGGGTCATCTTGAGCAACTCACTTGACTGAATAGGTATTATTCTCACTTTATACATAAGGAAACAAATACTTGCTCTGCCATCTCAAGGAGTGGTCCTTTGGACAGCAATACATTATTACATTGAAATACTTTTGAACTGTAGGTGTCTGTGTAAGAATGGCATCTGGAAACACGTTTAACACTTGGATGAAGAACCAGTATCCTAGCCATATCTTTTAGGGTCCTGACAGGAATGGGGTAATTGAGGAGAGTTTAATGAAAAAACTATTGACAAAAGCATGGCCAGGTTAAGAGAGACCATCAAGGGCTGTGAAGCACCCAAGACTAGTGACAGAAGTGTCATCATCACCCCTAGGCCTGAAGGAGCAATGGACTGGAGCGGCTATTGGACTCTAGAGTTTTGCTCTAGAAATATCTGAAGATAAAATCATAAAGTGGCCAAACATGTGATTGAAGTATTTAGGGAGTCTGGAACCTCACCTGTTCCGTTCTCACAATCGCTTAGGGTGACGTATGTTGATTAAGTCTAATACAAACCCAGAAAGTAAGGGAGTTCATTGAGGCAATCCATAAAGGTCACTCTCCCATACCCAGAGTAGGTAGAGAATGCTGGTGAGTGGATCTGGAGGAGCAGTTGGAGAATATTCAGCACTCTAACCACCATCCAGATAAGCATTATATAAATTCTGATTGGGAAGGAAAAATTGGAAGATAAACAGCATGTTTGAGTAACTATTGTGTGCCAAGAACTTTGCACAGACTATCTCACATAATTTTAGAATACCCACAATGAAAGGCTGATTATGATGTCCATTTGACAGGGCAGCATATTGAGTCCTGATGGGTTTAGTAATTTATTCCTGGTCACAAAGCTAGTGAATGTGAGAATAATATGAGAAACCAAACTTGCTTGACTTCAAAATGAAGGAGCATTTATAAGGGGACTCGAACTTGTGGATAGATATGCATCTTAGGTAGTATGAAGCTATGTACCTCAATGGTGGGGGCATAAACATTTCTGTAACAGATGGAGACCCATGGAGTTCTTCTTGTCCCATTTAAGCAAGGCCCTCTGTCATGTTGCTTCTCTCATATTCTGATACAACTCATAGACACTAACCCAGGTATGCTATTTCCAACTGAGCCTCAAAACTATTTTAATTTCAAGTGTCTGAGAGACATCACAGTTTTTCTTTTAATTTACACTCTCATGATGTATTTTAAAAAAATGATGAGAATAATACATACCCGTCTTCTCTGACTCTGAGTAAATTGTAAGAACTCATCCACTGAAGTTACCTGAGAGGATGCATGTGTACACCTCAATCCATCAACTTCTTTAATAAAAGTTGCTGTCTTCCTTGAGGAATTATATCAATTTCCTCTGATTTTTAGAAGCTCCACGTCAAATTTCAAAGTCTAATGGTGGGCTTTAATTTATGATGACCTTACAATGTGGTGGTACCTAAACTTTACAAACACTCATGTAAATATCATGTGAGTAAAACAATTTCTAATCCTTACTACTGGAATTAGGCCTATAATGAAGGCACGCTGAGGTATGAAAATATATATTCATAGCAGAGTAGCCATATTGGCATCTCATCATGCTAATGAAGAGGTTTTGTTATTATTACTGTTGCTGTTTTTTGCTCTTTTGTTTATTTTCCCCTCACCATAAGCCAAGTCTGAGTGATTGCTATATTTCTATTTTACTTTTCTCTCTGTTTCTGTTTATAACCATGTAAGTACGATCTATTGAGTTATGTTATGATATGATCAAATCTTGAAACAAACCATTGTATTGAAAGACATTATTATGTTACTACCAGTGTTTCCAAATAAGCAGAATTATCCAATTGAGTGCTCCTCAATGGGAAACTCTGATAGAAAAGTGGTGTCAGGGTTTAATAAAGTGCACGAGAACTCACAGCTCTTCCCGGAGCCTGCTCACTGCCTGGTGGATTAGATTTCCCTGGGCACTCTTGCGCCTCGCCTGCTACTCGAGTGAGTCAGAGACTTGAACTCCTCTCAAACCTTTTACAGGCAGATGATTTAATTAGAGTATATGATTCAAAAAAACAGGGATTACAACTTTAGAAGTGGCCAAGAGAGTAGTTCATCCTCAATTTGAATTGAACGTTTATGATATCCCTTGGGTTAGAAGTGAGGGGGAAATTATCTTGAATTCAGACAGTTTTTTTTCACTTGGGCCAGAGATGTAACACACATCCACTCAATAGGAATATTCTGGTCTAGTCACAAAATTTTTATTATGGGCTTTTAACAGCATGGCAGGGGGCATCTTATGACATAGAACTAAGTAAAAATTCAGGACACAGAAAAATATATTATCATTATTATAAGATATCTGATCGTTCTTTGAAATGGGAAAAAAGTTGAAATAATTACAATATCCATTACTATGGGAATGCCTAAGTTACTCATAGTACATTCACAAATGAACAATTATGCAGTTCTAAGAAGTAATGAGTTGGACTTCTTTGTGATAATAAGAAAAGATCTCAAAGATATCCATTGTGTAAAAAGAGAAAATCCCAGAACAGTGCCTATATCATGATTACATTTGTGGTTAAATGTTCATATGCATATATACACATTTGTATGCATATACATATAATGGCCGTGGAATTATACACATAAAAATGTTACCAATATTTATCTAGGGAAAGAGGTATGAAGGTAGGGAGAGGGCTAAAGATTTTCAAAATACAGTTGTGTATCGCTTTTATACAAAAGTATATCCAGAAAACTTAAAGTATTGTCAATACCTCTCCAATGAGGAATTTTAAGAGCATGACCATGAGAAGCAGATCCTTGTGTAACTGACAGAGAGAATCAGATACGGTCATATGCCGCTTAATGATAGGGATACATTCTGAGAAATTCTTCTTTAGGTGATTTCGTCATTGTGCAAACATCATAGAGTGTACTTACACCAACCTAGATAGTATAGCCTACTACATACCTAGACTATATGGTACTAATCTTATGGGACCACCGTTGTATATGGGGTCCATCTTTGACCAAAACGTCATTATGTGGCGCATGACTATAACTTCAGAAGTATCTATGCAAATTTTGAATCTTTCACAAGAATATTAAATTACTAGTGAAACACACAAAAAGACAGATAGATAAAACCCTGAAAATATATCAGAAGAAAAAAACACTAACATTTTAGCACTGATGATATTATGTTATTTTGTACAATTTTATGTTTTACACCCTTTTATCTTTTCTATATTTCCTGTTTTTCTAAAATAGTTATTACTTTTACAATAGAAAAAAATGTTACTAAACAATTAAAATATAAATGTAGTTGAACAGTACCTTAGGATTTGACACTTGTTTATATTAATTCTGATTGGTGTTTATTAGTTGATTCTAATAATGCATTTATTTCTTTCGTCTCTCTGATGTATTTGTGAGCTTCAGAATAATTTATCTTTGACCGCAGAGCCTTCAAGCTATTTGTGTCTTTACTCCTCTTGGAGGAGAATTGGCGTCTATGATAAATTGTAGGATTCTTGCACTTCCCGGGCTTTCCTGGGTAGATGAGGCTGTTATGATTTATCCTTTAATTTGGTAGGCAAGAGTATGTCATTCAGTTTGCTTTCTAATGTATATTCTTGCAAGTTCTTTTTTTATACATCATAAAATGTATTTTTGCAAGTTATCTACTAACGTCTACGACTACAATTTTCTCAGTGTTGGCGTTGCAGATGCACACCAGTTAAATGTCAAAAGACAACTGAAAATTACCTAAGTGGAGATGTTGTATACACCATGTGTGTGTTTTGTGTGTGTGTGTGTGTGTGTGTGTGTGATTCACACATTCATTTTTGAATGAGCTGTCTGCCTGAAAGTCATTCTGCCATTTTTCCCCCTCAGCAATTATAAAAACTGCCCTTCCCAACATGGACAGAGAAGCCAAGGAGGAGTACCTGGTCGTTATCCAAGCCAAAGATATGGGTGGACACTCCGGTGGCCTGTCTGGGACCACGACACTTACAGTGACCCTTACCGACGTTAACGACAATCCTCCAAAATTTGCCCAGAGTAAGTGAATTTCCTGCACTGGGTGAGAATCTCAGTATAATGGTTTCATTTGAATTTATATTCTAACTTTCAGTGACATCCAAAAACCCGTTGGTAATCATTGAGTGCTTATTATATGCAAGATGTGGCAATACTTTCCTGTCTTTTGGGTACTAGATGTATCCCCTTTTCACAGATTTCTAAGAAGTTGAGAAAATTTCGAATTATCAAGCATATAATAAGTAGTGGAACCGAGAGTTAGAACCAGTGTGTCTGACTGCAGGATGTGTGCTTATTTCTCTATTCTATGGTACCTCCCATTAAGTAAACTTGAGACAATGATTAAAACGCAACTCAGATATTGCTGTATCATTAGTCCCACTTGGATAAAAAACTAAATCTCTAGGGCTTGAGATGGGTAAGCAGATATGCAGTACACTTGCTGCAAAATATACACTCCTCCTTCCTGCGACAGGGGATCATCAGAGATCATTGACTCTACTCGTCCCTGCTAAAGCTGTGCTCTGCCTTGGAGACCTCTCAACAGCATTCTAGGCAGCACCATCAAAGAATTAGGGAGACCATCATTATTTGCCAACTTTCTTGTACTCTCATAGAAGCCCTTTCTTCTGAGCATTTATCCAAGTTATCTGACATAGAGAGATGATTTGGGAAGGCCTTTATGACATGGAAACTCTTGAATTGAGATATGAATGATGAATTGGAATTAGCTGGAACAAAGTGAAACCAGGGGAGGGAGGATAGATGTTGCAACTGGAGGAAAAGGATGTCCAAAAGCCCTCTGAAAGGAGACTATATGGCCCTGGGTGACAAGTAAAAGAATTTCACTACAGCTGGAGCACAGAGGCTGGAGAGTTAGGTTAGGCAGGAGTTAGCCATACCTGAATTAACAGGCCATTTTAAGTGCCATGATCTATGTCCTAAGATCACTAGAAAGCCATTAAAAGATTTTAAGTTGTAGGTTGAGTAATAGGATTTGATTCCAGGGAAATAAAAAAAATGAAATCTGGCCTTCTTCCAATGTCTTCTCCACATTACAGCCAGTTAAGGGGTGTTTGTAATCATTCATATATATGGTGGTGGTAGCCCTGGCAAGCAAGGGTGGTCACAGTGGAGAAAAGTGTATAGGTGTGATAGATATTTAAGAGGTAGTGATAACAAAAATCTAAGGATAGATTGCATTTTAGGTTGAGGAGGTGACATCATATTCTGACATGAGAGATTAGATGCACACTGGTGCTGTTTGCTAGGATAGGAAATGTCACAGGAGAACCAATTTTTGAAGATAGAGAGGAGAGAGGGGAGAGAGAAGGACAGTGAGATAGGGAGAGAGAGAGACAGAAGCTGGGCTTGAAAATGACGCATTTGAGAGCTTTGAGAATTTACCTGTAGAAATTCCAAGGTAAAATGAACAAAAAAGATGCATTTTCATTAGGAATTTTAGAATTTTCACATCTGGCCATTTATAAGTCAAACAACAATGCAACCCTTTTTAATACAATTATTGAAATGGAGAATACCGTTTCTCCTATCTTTCCCTGGACTCTTTTATTTCTTTTTTCAGTTGCTATTATAGTTAATGCTCTCATATGCAACTCTTCTTTCTCAGAAAATGATTGTTTCAATTCAGCAATGGCAGATGAGTTTCAAAAGTGTTCTCTTTCTTAGAGGTAATAACTATTAACTATGATCACACTGATAGAGATGATGAGAATGAGCAGAATAGGAATGAATAAAGAACTATTCCATTGGCCTGGTTTCCCAAGGCTCCCTGATGCATGACTGGCAGCAAGGTGAGGCCCCTTGCTGGCTTGTTTACTTAATAAGCATACCTAAAGCGATCATCTCAAACCTTACCTGCAGTACAAAGTTTGAAGGAAATGGAATCATTACACCAATTAGGAGAGCATTGGAAGACTTGTGCTCAACATGAGGATTTCAGTGCCTACCTTATGGCAAAACTATTTGGAAAACATTTTTGTTCCCCAGTCGCATAATTTCATGATTCTAAAAGATATTTTTATTTCATTAAATAAAAGTGTGTTAGTGCTAGAAGAAAAGTTTACACATCATCTGAACTAATCTTGTTCTATTGTGTAAAATGAGCCTAGGTTTATCCAAGGGACTCAGTGATTGAGTTCAAACTAGAATTAGGTAATGTTCTCTAGATTTAATTTTTCCTTTTGGGCTTTTAGTTCATTGAATGGTTATTTTTCCCTTGTTTTTGTTGCAATGGGACTAATACTTCCTGGTTGTCTGAGTTTGGGTTCCCCAGAAACAGGCACTGAGACGAGAATTTGATTATAAGTAGTTAATCTTGGAGATGATCCCAAGAAACGCCAGTAGGGAAGTGAGGATGTATGGGAGAGAAAGAAAGAAAGCCAATAATGTGCATTATCCAGCCAGCTACCACTGTGGGTGACTGGAGCTTTATCCCATTGGGAAACTCTGGAACACTGTAAATAAACAAAAGAAAAGAAATCGCTCAACGTTATATTACCAGAGTGGGGAGAAGCCTGAGATTTTATATAATAAGTTGTGTGAGTCTTTGAGGACTGCTTCTGTGGGGGCATTAATTTTCTGGTAGTTCTGGACTGACAAGCAGTGGACAAATTGGGTTCTGAAGGCCAGAAAAAACCCTCAGGCAAAGAAATGTGGGAGATGGCAGTTCGATGCAGGGCAGGTGTGTGCTGAAGTAGTAACCGCCAGGGGTTATGGTTAGGGTACCAACAGCTTCCTCTACACCAAAGAAAGTGAGTGATACCAATACAACAACTAAAGTGATTTGAATGAAAACAGGACTGATACCACTAATTAGACATATTTTACTGCCCCCAGAGGAGGATGAACATACACTACAATTGTATTTTGCCTAGAGAGTTTTGAAGGTAGAATTTTTGGTCTTCAGAGCAGTGAGGACTTTAGTAAGAAGAGAAGTGTTTCATGTGTCTGAACAGCTTGCTGCAGGGCAGAGCAGAAGTTTAGTAATTGGATTTTTATCAAAAATGGTCTACAAGTCTGTAAATATAAAGGTAACTTCAAAAGTGACTTTCAATGTGTTACACATTGCATCTTTCTGTGCTGAAATTAGCTTAATATTTTATGTTGGGCAACAAGGAATATCCCCACGGGCAGCCAATGTGATTATACAGCAAATAGGAAAGGACATTCACATAGACTCACTAATATCCTAATATAACTGCTCCAAATACATACTTGGTAAACATATGCTTGAATAAATTCCATATCTCAGGAGAGTCTCCAAGAGCGATCACTACTTCTTCTGGGAACTATTTGTCTCTGACTCATTTAAAAGATTGTATATTCCACAGCAAAAGGGGGATTTTTATCTTTCCCGTCACTGTATTGGTAGCATCTATACAGGAGTGCCCAGAACAAAGGAGGTGCCCAATAAATATTTACTAAATAAATTAATGAATGGATGGAATTTTTACAATGCTCAGTGTTTCTCCTCTTTTCTAAGGTCTATATCACTTCTCAGTACCAGAAGATGTGGTTCTTGGCACTGCCATAGGAAGAGTGAAGGCCAATGATCAGGATATTGGTGAAAATGCACAGTCATCATATGACATCATTGATGGAGATGGAACAGCACTCTTTGAAATAACTTCTGATGCCCAGGCCCAGGATGGCATTATAAGACTAAGAAAGGTAAGCTAAGGATGATTTTGTTCATCTTCAAAATGTCTCTTTGAAACTTAAGTTTTATAGTTTGGGTAGACTTCCTGACATGTTCTTAGAGCTGATTTAGCTTCTTTAGTTGTGAAAAAGTAGCGTCCTTTTTGTACCTCGTGTCCCTTGGCCTTACTTTCCATTTCAGCTAAAGCTCAGGTAAGCAGTTACCATGGTGGTACTAGCCTTGCATCTCACCCATTATTTCTCTCCTGTCTATGCCTCAGTGTTTTTCCATAAGCTGCAGAATTTGCTCAGTTCTTGTACAGAGCACTCCAACTGTGTAGGGAAGTCAACACTCTGAAGGACAAGCAAAGAGGGGCAAAGATCGGTGGACAGTTCCTAGTCTTTGAAGACATTATTCTGAGGCATATTGTCTATGGTTCCTAAGAGGAATTCCCAGTGGGAAGAAACCTCATTAGTCCACAGAGGTGGCAAGTTCATTGGTTTTTAATCCTTTTCTGTATAACTCGCCCCATTTCTGTACTCCTGCTTCCTGGAACAACTTTTCAAAATTCTCTGAAAGTCCCTAAGTCTTTATTGCAGGCTCTACTTTCAGGGAAACTCAAAGATAGACAAAGCAGTCAGCTTCAGTTCTTCTGGCTAGATATGTCACTTGAGGGACAAGACCAGCCCTGCTACCATTGGATACTCCAAACCATGCATCAAAAGTCCAAGCACTGTGGTAAATGAAGCTCATCTTTGCCTTGCTCCTGGGTGTGGGGCTACCATTGGAGAAAGAAACATCTCCATAAATAATACAAATAGTATAAGACAATTTGTGACTGCTTTTGCCAGCAACCAATTATTTGGTGGTAGATGTGAAAAATTCTGTACAACATTTTCCATATATATTTTTCACTATGATATCTACATTCATAGGTAGTACACAGTTCAGTATTTTATGGACATGGGTATTTGCAAGGAGAAATATCCTCATTGTGATTATTTTGTTCAATATTGTTCATCAGATCTTTGTCATGAAGTAGTACAACTTTTAATTTTTAAATTGCTTGTTTATGAATAAGAAGATAGATGGTGGGCCACACTATTAGGAGCCAATAATACACAGGTATCTCCTTCCAATGGTCATGCTCTTAAAATCCCCATTGGACAGCTATTGACAATGGGAACCTGGAATTTTCTGGATATACTTTTGTATACAAAATAAATTTTAAATATCAATTTAGAGGAAAAATGGCTGCACTTATTTTAACTCTCTGCTGAGCAACACTACCTTTATATCTGGCTTGAGTTTAGGATCAAGAGTTGCAAAGTATTTAAAAACTCATTTTTGAAATAGAGTACAGTATAATTACAGTTGAGTCCATTATTGAATAACCCAGAGCCACATTTTCCTTGGGTAACGATTCCTAATGTCATTTTTATTGTTATTATTAACTACTATCCTTTGTTACCATAAGGTACTTTTATAAACTGAAGCAATTAGCTGTTTGCCGTATTTTTATCCACTGTTATTCATGAACTTGGAAGCAAATATATACATCTTGACACTAAGAAACACATGTATTTTACTCTAGAGAACAATGTGTAGGAAGCCATATTTCCACAATTCATGGGTCCTCTTTTTTGTCTGATAAATTCCTAAGGACACCAGGATGTGTTTGGGTACATTGTCATTATGTTGAGCTGAAGGTTAAGCAGAAGGTAATCTGCTGTACTTAACAGTGTTTGTGAAGAATTTGAAATTGCAAAAATGTTACAGTAGGAGTGACTGGCAAATTGTGAAGATGCTGATGTTGAATCATCTATTCGTGGGTACATGTGCCTAGTAATTTCAGAATAGACAGTGAAGTGAGTATCTGCCTTGTGTACTAGAAAAATATTTCAAAAAAAAAAAAGCCAAGTCCCATTAGAACTGAATTCCAATATAAGAATCGACAAAAATTTTTAAATAAGAATAAATACTTAAGCTCATACAGGAGTTCTGAAAGAGTTTGCTAATGCCAGCTTGTGTTCCAGCCTCCTATTTTTTTAAATCTGCACTGCAGGTTTAGGGTTCTGTTTTTTATAAGAAATTATAATGCAAACCTAAACTGTCTCTTTGAACCTTGACAGATGTACATCCTTGAAATCTGAAGTATTATGTGTTGCCAAGAACTGGACTGTAAGGGTTCTGATTCAGATGGGCTTCTGGTTTTTTAAGGGGACTATGTTCTTTTACCTAGCTTTTAGCTCTGTTTACCTAGGTCATTAACTAAAGTCTCTGGGGCTTTTAAGGAATGAGGTATTAATATGTCAGAAATATTGTCAGTAATGGAGCAATGAGGTAATTTCAAATTGCTTTTAAGTGGTTGGTGGAGACACAGCCAGACCTAGTTATCTATATTTACTGCTCTCCCTCTTCCTTCTTCTAAATATAAACACAAGTAGATATGTATCTGCATACATATTTCTTTATATGCCCACTTGCTTCATAGTACAGAACTCATAATAGAGACTGTGTGAGAATATCCTAAAAAACAATAAACCTGATTTTAGCCACATGATCAGTAGAGCAGCGATGTTTTGGAAGTGAAATAAGAAAACACTCTTTGTCGGGATTAGTGCTAAATTATGCCTTAAAATGTCTCCTTGGACTAAACAATGATGATTTCTACTTCTGTACATTTCACACACTGTTGCAGAAATGATAAAATATTCTTCCCAGATAGAGACTGTTCGATGCTGCCTTATCTCCTACCAGCAGAGGCCCGATTAACTGGCTGGTTGTTATGCAGGTCATGCCATCACTAGTAAAATTTTATTATGACTCTGAAGTGAAATTTTGATGGCACGATTCATGACTGTGAATATTTTGTGAATTCCAAGTGAAATGAGCAAAACAAAACAAAACAATAGGAGATTAGATTCACTGAGCTTGTATAATAAACAGATATCAATAAATGCCTGTAAAATTTACAGGTTGAATCTGGGGGAATGGAGAGTGATCCCATTAAGGCTCACAAATGGGCTTAAATGCACGTAACTCTCATCCATCAGCATTAGACTCATTTGTTCTTGCTGCTGTGGTCATTAGTGAGAAACATTCATCTTTGTCATTTCTTAACAGCCTCTGGACTTTGAGACCAAAAAGTCCTATACGCTGAAGGTAGAGGCAGCTAATGTCCACATTGACCCACGTTTCAGCGGCAGGGGGCCCTTTAAAGATACGGCGACAGTCAAAATTGTCGTTGAGGATGCTGATGAGCCTCCAGTCTTCTCTTCACCGACGTACCTCCTCGAAGTTCATGAAAATGCTGCTCTAAACTCCGTAATTGGGCAAGTGACAGCTCGTGACCCTGATATCACTTCCAGTCCTATAAGGTATTTCTCTTTTAAAAGAAATACTGGCTACATCAAATGACAAGCAAATCAGTGCAGTTCTGTTTACATTCTGGGTGGCTGCCTTGGGGACTATGCTCACAGGACCAAGGAATTTTGGTCAACACATACTTTATGCATGTTTGTGTGCGCGTACGCACCTCTGTGTGCAAGATGTGCACACATGTGCACACACTTACTAAAAGCTACACACGAGACCCAGAGCCGGGAATATCAAGGTGAATAAAGCTATTCCAGCTTTCAGAGAGCTCAGTGAAAACACAAAATCACATATGTTTTGCAGTGCATTTGGGTGGATCTTTGATATTGCATATTTTTTGCTAGCTTGTGCATTTGTTTTTTTTTTCCTAGCTTTGGGAAAGTATTGCTAGGTTTCTCTTCCATCTCCTTTGACAGTTATGGTGAATTATATACAAGAATTTAGAGGTGTGAGACCACTGTCTCAATGCATTAAGAGGCTCCTAAGTTATTTCTGTGTTCGGTGTTTGGCTTTGAAATTATCTTCTTATCGCTTCGTGGGTGTTTCTGATAGGTCAGCATATCTGGATTGGTGCCTTTTAGACAAAATCTTTCTCTGCAATTTCAAAAATACCTTTTGTTTATACTTTTCCAGCTCAAAATTTTTTCCCAAGGTGAGAAATAATCCTTTATGATTTCTGCCTTTTTTAGAAATGAGGCTCAATTCTATTTTTTTTCTGTTGAACTGTGTACATCTTTTCTCTTTTGTCAGTCACCCAAATGACAATAAAGGTGCTCAAGTTAAATAGCTTTCTTCTTAAAGAACACTGAAAATATATAACTCCTACACTGGTCTCCAAGGATTAAGTGTTGGCTAATGATGTGTTTGAGTGTGGATTTCAAATACTGTCTTAGAAATGTTTGTTGAAAAAAGAGAGAGGGAGAGAAAACTAGATGAAGGAAGACAGTCTTAAAAAGTTATTCAGGTAATCTATGAGGTAGATGTCAACTCATCCAACTCATTCAATTTCTAAGTTACAGGGATCTACAGCAGATATCCTTCTAATTACTTCTTTATTTAGTGAAACTAGACAAGTGAGCTTTCTGGAGGTTTCGTTTATTCACTTTTTTATCTATTACATTCGCAATACTCACAAGGGTGCTGAAAACCTGAGGCTGGAAGTGAAACCAAGCAGAATAGTCAGTGCCCCAAATAATTTCAGTTTGGGCAAAAAAGAATTCTTTCCAGATCCAGAAAAGTTGTTTTTAACACAAGCCATTTCTAAATTCAGGATAATAAAGAGAGTATCCCACAAAAATTACTTCAATGGAATAATACTACTCAGCCATAAGAAACAATGAAATCCAGCCATTTGTGACAGCATGGATGGACATTTAGGGTATTATGCGAAGTGAAATAAGTCAGCGGGAGAAAGTCAAATACCGTATGATCTCACTCATTAAGTAGTAGATAATAACAACAGCAAACAAACACACAGAGACAGAGATTGGATTGGTGGTTACCAGAGGGGAAGGGGGGAGGGAGGAGGGTGAAAGGGATAATTCGGCACATGTGTGTGGTGATGGGTTGTAATTAGTATTTAGGTGGTGACCATGATGTCACCTATGTGACTGTCTAATCTATGCAGAAATAGAAGTATAATGATGTACACCTGAAATTTATACAATGTTATAAACCAATGTTTCTGCAATAAACAAAAAATTTGAAAAAAAAAGCACAACCTCTAAGTAGGTAAAACTTCACTTGTGGATTTGAGGAATGGTCAGTTGTCCATTCTCAGTTCTAAAGGAATTCAACAAGCTATAGACATACAGAATACCCTATACCCTAGGGACCTTGTATCTCTCAAAAGGCCAAGTTTGAAAACAAGCGCAGGAAGTAATTCCTGCAGGAAAAATAAATTTACGTGGGCATCCATTTCTGGATAAACATGAAGTTGTGAAACGGCTTTCTATTGAAATCCTGATAAAAATCGGGGTAACGGTATTTGTTGAATGAGTGAGTCCGACGCATTTTCATGTTACACTATTTCCTCTGAAAGAACAGAGAAAGGAGCAATTACCACCTTCTTCACATTTCCAAGCATAAGAGAGAGAATGTGAAGAGAGTAAGCAAGGTCGGTCCAGCTGAGAAACTAGTCATGGGCCAGTTTTAACACTTGATTTGACGAGATTTCTACTCTTGTTAGCAAGGAACCCATAGGGGCCTCAGGAGGAGGCCAAGCCAAGGACTCTTAGGGAAAGTGGGGTGAGGCAATCACATATAAACTCTAAACGTGGAATCCATAGTACCAGCAGGAGTGGACTTCCCGTGCAGAGAGATGTTCTTAATCAGCTAGAGATGAAGCTCGAGGAACTTTTCATACCATAGTGATAGTAATCTCGAATTGGTGGAACTGGGTAAACACTCCAGCTTCCTAGTTTGCCACATGTTTTTGCACTTTTTATGATCTATCCATTTACGGATGAAAAAAATGGAGATTTACTGATAGTAATTCCGGTTCACAGAGAATCAAGTGATGATTATCATTGCAGTTGATTGTTATTATTATTGCTCTTGTTATTTTTATTATTGTCACTGGTATGAAAGGTAGGAAGCTTGAGGCTGCTTAACAACAACTGCTCAACTTGGAAGCATTTTATTTTCAGGCGAACTAAAGGGATTTGGGGCTGTGTTACCAGAAAGAGATGGACAGATAAAGTACCGTTTGATGATACGGACATATCTATGCTTCTGATAGATGTCAAGCTGGTACTAGTTCCTTGGCATCGATGGTCCCACCCAAAGAAGAGGTGAATAATGTTTCAAAGCATTTACAACAGGGCTTTGAAGTGTTATTCGGAAGGCGAGCCCCACACAGTTCCGACTAGATGTGGATTGGCTCCATGGGATAAGGATGTAAGAATCACCAACTGCATTTTTCAGCATCTGTTTGGCATTTTTGCACTTGTTTCCTACTTCCACCCCCAATTGGGTTATGAAGAGCAGCTTTCCTCTCTCTATGCACAATTGGTTAATTTGAGTAGGAAATTAAATTTCCTGACTAGCCAGAGCAGTACATAGTTCCTTAAGAGTCTAGCAGACAGATTTAGAGCCATTTAACCTTTTTAAACAGAACTAGAGGACATGGATATTCAGGGAATTACTGAGTAACAAATAGCAAAGCATGTTTGTCTCTTTAGGACTGTTGTATTTTATATGCTGACAAGAGTGTATCCTTCTTTTAAGGGACTGTTTACTTTGCCATCAACAAGAAATAAACATTTATTCTGGCATCTGCCACATTAAAACATGCAATCATTTATTGGTTGGTCAACTTCCCCTAAGACTCAACTTCTTTTTAGAGCACATTGTCAAGCTGGAAATACCAGTATTTTAAAATTCTTATACCTAAACCTATATCTATATCTATATCCATATTTGTATCTGTATTTATATCCGTGTCTATATATGTATATTCCCTTCCAGGGAAAAATAGACAGTGTCGTAGAGGCAAAATTCATGGTCTTACCATCTCCCTTCTAGGAACATTAATTAAACATTTGCTGTTTTCTTCAGTACTATATGCCTCTCAGTAATATAGAATAAAGTTGTGTAAATTATTTAAAAGATGATGTATTTTGAATTTACACAAACTAAGATTCGAATCCTATCACCACTGCTTCCCAGTCAGGCAGCTGGTTTCTAGAATTCTCTGAGACTCAGTTTCCTCATCCGTATAGTGGGATAATACCATCTTCCTTACAGGGTTACTGAGATAATTAAATAAAGTTATTAAATAAAATATGTAGTAGCTATTAGCATTACCTTTTAATAAAAGCTAAGCCACCATCAATTTCATATCTTAAATGCAAATTAAAAATCTAATACTTATTTTAGTAGAGATTCTTCTACTAAAGGTTGCTGACTTTGTGGAATTATCTGGATTTATTTTTGTAACAGTTACATGCTAAGTAGTTCAATTAACTTCATTTAGTCTAATTTGTCCCTGCTGCTGCTGTGATATTGTTACTAGTGAGTGCTTAATATGTGGCAGGGATGTGTTAAATATACTCCTTTCATTCTCTAACACCTCTATGAGATAATATGTATACTAATTATCCTCATTTAACAGATGAGGAAACTGAGGATAAAAAGACTGACTTGCCAAGTATCACACAAATAGTCAGGAGTGGAACTGAGATGCATACCTGGGTTTTTCTGACAATACAATTCCTCTCTGTCCCCATGCCACACTCCCTTTCTTCCCCTGTGATCTTTTTGACTCCAACTGTGTCTCTACATGTTGGGACGACTTAACAGGACCAACTTTAATGGGAATAATAAACTATTCATTCTCTATATGGCCTCATTCAATCCAAGATGCATACCAAGAAAGAAGGAAGATATACCATGTCTGTGAAGTTAACCAGAATATGGGCGGAGTGTTCCTTGCTCATCAGTCTAGTTTTTTTGTATGAATTTGTTACTATTAACTGTGAACAAAATTGTGATTTGTGAGACAAAAGGAGAAACAACGTTATTGTTATTTGATGAATCAGACATTGTGCTAAGTTTCTATTATGTATTATTGTACTTAATTCTCACAAAAGACACCGTGAAGTAGTCAGTATGATTCTAGTTTTGTGGAGAAGGAAGCCAAGGATCTGGAAGGATAAGTTCCTTGTGCATGATAATATAGCAGGAGGTGTGGGGCCTGGGTTTAAACTCACATTTCTTCTTACTATTGACCACGATGTCTGTGCATGCTTTGCTAGCTTCTGGCATCTTGCATGAGGAGTAGGATAATGACAGGTAATGTTTACTGAGCCCATACTTTGATACAGACACTCTGAAATGGTGTTATATGCAGTAAATTATTTATATTTAAGGCAAAAATTCCTAGCACAGAATAACTGTTAAATATAAGTCAGTGCTCTCATGTAAACCTGCTATGGTTCATTTTTTTCCTCTCAATCAATTTATTTCAAGTGTGCATTTGGTGTCACCAAGGCGTTGAAAT